TGGTTAAAACTAAAGTTATTTTATATATAATTAGTTTATATATAAAGAGTGGGAAATGGGATGAAGATATATCTTTTTGTAATGTTATGGAGAGTAAAGATTACTACCGATAAATGTTTCTATATTTGTGATGAAGGTTTTTAATACATTATTTTTTTCTTTAATTTTCATTTTTCTTGCTCTTTTTATTCTTCTTTTATTCTCTTTAAGTTTATTTTGTATTAATTTTTATTATTGTGATAATTTTTTAAATAAATTATATTAAAGAACAAATGAGGTGATCTCAACATAGTTGTCAATGTACATATTTTATCCGGTTTTTATTCTCACTTTTATTTGGCCTAATTGCATAATGGAATTAATTTAAACTTGAGGTCTTTTTACAAGGGTCATTTTACTCACCTTGTTACAAGAAGAGCTATTTTCTTTTTTAAAAATAATTTCTATATATCAACTTAAGCATACTTTTAAAGTATGTGTGAGCATCTGTTGAAAATACTTTAAAATAGTTGCATCTTTTCCTGCATGTGTGGCCTTTTCCCTAACTAACACAGTTTACAGAAGAACACGCATGGTTACAGGTGTTCATGATAGGTGCTACATGTATGCCCTAAATTATATCCTGAGTCTGAATCTCTGTATAGCCCTGTCATTTAATTAGCATTTCACAGTGCCTAACACCCATAGAACAAGTTAACCTGCAAAGTATTAAAGGCATAAACAGACTTTCATACAGAATCTCTTTCCTCAAAGCCTTTCCAGACAATAGAAGTCTTCATGATGAGTTTATTCCAGTATCTGAAAGAATTTCATTTCATAGTGAAATGTGCAGCTATGGCTCAATAGCAGCAGTGAAAGGCTGAGGTCAAGAAATTTCTTTTAAGTATGAACCCGGCAAAAGGGAAGACTGGACAAGAATCCATGTTGACTGCAACTCAAAAGTTAGATACGTTTTGTGCTGGTTCACCTCCTGAGGCTGGTCCCAATCAGTGTTAAAGTTAATAGGGAGCGAGCAATCTAGCTCACAACTCCCCTTTTGTATTGTGCCACAGGGCTCAGTACTCTGTTCTTTTTTAACATCAATATTAAACTGGGCGAGACCATCCAACCATCGGACAAAGTATCACCAATACACTGATACCCAATTATATATCTCTATCTTGGGTGAAGTGAGTAATGCAATGAAAGTCTTGCTGTGCCTGGAAGCTATGAGGGGGTCTGGATGGAGCACAACTGACTTCAACTGAACCCTGGCAAAATGGTGTGACTCTGGGTGTGTCTCTCTCTGTATTCAGGAGTTTATCATCTTTGGTCCTGGATATGGTTGCACTACCCCAGACAGACCTAGTGTGTAATTTGAGGCTCCTCTTGGACTCCCAACTCCTGCTTGAAAAGAATATAGAAGCCATGGCCCTACTCCGTGTTATGCCAATTATACCGTCCTGGACAGTGGGATCCTCCATTCATACATTCTTGCCCGGAAGCTTCAACTGATGCAGCTGTGTGAGCCATACTGGGTACCCAAAGAAGGCTGCCTGCACCGTTTGTTCCGTGAACTGCAACCAGGCATCAGTTTGCTGGGTCCAATAAATCCCTGCATTGCATAGGACCAGGCTATGAACTTTGCCCCATTATACCAGCCTGTCCTGTTTGTTCAGGCATAGAAGGTATGTCCTGATGAACTTACACTTTAGCAAAGAAAATTAAAAAGTAATAAATTATTAATTAAAACATGAATGTTAGCCAACATTGGATAAACTTGAGGTGGTTTCAAACAGCTTTATGCAGGTATAGAATCCATATGCGATTCTTTAAGTTCATAATGAAAAAATATATAATCTATATTCTGCTCCTACAAAGAATTGAGGAAATTAATTTCCTAACAGTTGACACATAGTAAACCCCACTCCCGATACCACATAGTTAAATAGAAACAGTCTCATGGGGCATGATAAAATTAGAATTTATTGTACAGATGTTTCTGTTTCATGAAGACAAAGGACTATGTAGGAATTTCTAAGAGGGATATTAAGCCATTTAATAACTTTGACAGCAAATTTAAAAATAGATTTAATTTTTTCATGTAATGTCTAATACTACTTTTGAGATATATTTACAGTTTACACATCTGTATATTTTTCTTAGCTAAACAAAAGTAACAATTCTATCATAGTTATGAAATACCATTATCAAGTGTGCAACTTTTTTCATTATCTGGTTTGATAATACATAGCTGACCAGTTAACCTCATAGGTGCGTTTTTGTTGTTTTTCAGCATTTTTGTATTTATTGGGTTTCTATTTTTTAGCCTTTTACACACACACACACACCTCCTCCATGTGTTTATTTTTTTCTAATGAAAACACTGGTAGATCTACATTGTAGTTTGTGCTTTGATTTGAGAAATATGTATTATATCTGCTTATTAGCCTACACAATTTAATATAGTAAATGAAGCATTTAGTGCTCAGGCACTTGAATTTTCTCAACTGTAAATAGAAAATGTACTGAAATTCCTTCAATTTCCTACAGACAGCAAATTTAGCAGACTGTCTCTCATCTTTGGGAGACAGAGGGGTGGATTTGCAGATGTTATCACCCCATCCCAGTGAGGGTTCCCTAGTGCACCAGTTCAGAAGTGGGATTTGCCTTACAGTATATACAGGTTAGCTGCAGCAACCAGACAGGATTTCAAAAGGTAGTCTTTTAGAGTAAGTTTTGTTTAAAGTTGTATTAAACACTGTTAACATTTACCACTGGGTATTAACAAAAATTCTCCATTTATCATCGGTTTTTTTTTTGAGACAGCATGATTTCACAGAAGACGGTTATTACAATAAAAAGGTGTTCAGAAATATACTTCTGTGTTTTGCAGGTTGCCTGCTTATTGTACAGTGAAAAAGAGTGCTGGACCTTTTTAGTTCTTATTCTAGTTTTGATCTATGACAAAGCTAACAAATGATCAGACTGAAAAACTAAGAGGAGATGGCTTAAAAAGCAAATGGAAATGTTGAAACAAATCTCTGAAATTTCTCAGAAAAATATGGCTCATCTCAGGCATGGCTAGTGGCTGTCCTGCCAGTCACACATTCCCAATAACAGCGTCACTATTGCTCTTGTTGGCAATAGTGGGGGGCAGCATGATTTTTGGCTGTTGCTTCCATTAAAAGCTGAAAATGTAGTTTAAAAGAAAATGCACAGCTTGGAAGGATAAACAACACATTATCATAGGTAAACTCTCCAATGGATATATTGGTACAAAAAGGGCAGGCCTAGTACTGTTGATCACATAATCCTCACTTTTCCATAAGGAATGTCTAATTATTTGAATGCTTCTTTTCTTTAATCAGTGAAGGATTATTTGATTTTATCATTTCAAACATTTATTAATAGTATACTACCAATCATGAATTATTCTAAATACTTTGATATTCAAAATGTCTATTTTATAAAGTGTAGTTATAAACCAATTTAGTTTCTTAAACTTTAAAATAAAGACTACAAAATGTTTTTTTCATTGATGTTCTTATTCAATTTTATTTGACATTTTTTTATAATTCAGAGCATTAAACAAATCTTATTAAAAATGCACATTAACCTTTCATGCACTCTACCATTTTATCCACTCCTCTGGTAAGAAAAAAGATAACTATTTTCTCTTGATTTATAAATATCCAAATATTTTTTAAAGTATTCAAGGACTCTTTAAAACACTTTTGGTATATTATGCTGCTAAAGCACCGCTTCTAATTTCATTCCTTCTGGTCTCTTTTACATCTTCACTGAAGATTTTCTTGGCTTCAAATCTGGATACCTTTTAAAATGATAGAATTATGCTTACTTTTAGGTATGCACATATTAAACACTAGTATAGTGAACTGAACTGACATACATTATATAGCCCCCTTCAGAATCTATCTGCATTTGCTCAACATAGGATTGAAAACCCTATTTTAAAATATACTGCTACTACTTTTAATATTATCATAATCTGGTATTTAATTTTCATTTTGAAGTTGTCATGTAGTTTTATGACATATAATGCAATTCCTGTAAAATGTGTATTTGTAATCCTTTATTAATTTTCCATTTTTTCTTCTGAATGCATGATACATCCTCTGACATTCACTCAGATGTATTCATTGTTTTATTAAAAATAGTTACAGACAAAAAAAGTATCCAAAATGTAAAATATATCACCATATGTGAGACTCAGAGGAGTACTGGCTTCACGACTTCACAGGGATATATAGGTAAGTATAGAGTATTCTAAATAGCCCTGACCATTCTTCAGCAGTCCATGGATGTGTCAGGGAAGAGAGCAGCTGGGAAGCGTGCAGACACCTCTGAGCTCCTGTTTCTGGCAAGGAAATAATGGACTACAGAGGCAACATATATAAAAACAAATGAAAAGTCATCACAATCAGTTTAATGAAGTGCACAGAATAGCAATTGGTCATGTCAATAAAAATAAAACAATTTTACATCAAATGTGCTTTATTTTCATCACAGGTATTCTGTTAAATAAAGCAATATATATATATATATGTATATATATATATATATAGTGTTTGTGTGTGTGTGTGTGCGCGCACATTGTATGTGTATACTGTCAGGCCACAGCTAAAGAGGATTCTTTATAGAATCAATTTTTTGTGGTTGTTTAGTATACAAGTAAACTTAATTTTGATAATAAGAACCACAGTAATTGGAGGCAAGCTGCCTCTTTTGTAAGGTACAAAACTGGCACAGAGGACACCATATTATACACCGTAAAAATGCAGTTAAATTTCAATTACGTCATACAGGGCAAAGAGTCCCTGCTCTCCCAGACAGGCATATTAAATGAAAGCCACCACAGTGAACTTTAAATTACATAAACATATTCATTATTTGATTGCCCTTTAAGAAAACATACGGTAGATGCAAAATATTTTTTTTTAATTTGAAGTTCTGCCTGACCAATTAAGCATATAAATTTCATCTTGCCATTCAAGCAGAAAGCACAGGACAAACTGAAGCACAAAACAGAAATAAGCAGAACTTATACAAACAGCATTTTTAAAAGGGAGAAAAAAAGACTTTTAAAAGCACACGTGCTCCTCTACTGTCAAGAAGCAGCTGGGTTTCCTTTGCCAGATATCCTCGTAACCACATGAATTGTTGATTCAATGGTCCTGCAAAGGATGTCTAAAATGTCTTGATGTTGCTGCTGCATGTGACTCAACAGTCCTCTGGAATGGCTGCAACTAAGTGATAAGCCAGACTCAGGGTCCTGGGAAGCTTGAGTTTCAGAGTTCTTCAAATCTGTGAGGTCAGAAAGAACAGCAGAAATAGATGTGGAGGGAAACTCTGTATCATCCTCAATAAGGTGAGAATCCTTGGAGCTTGATGGTTCTTTCATGTCTTTACATTCTTCAAATCTCCCACTGCCCAGCTGTTCCTCCCCATGGTGTGAATGAGCAGCTAGCATCATATCTTCAGAGAATGAAGAGGGAACTTCCATACGGTACTCCTTAATAGAATTATTTTCAGGAGAAGGCAGGTCCTGTTCGGTGCCTGGGTCAATGATGGAGGAGTCTCTTGTCTCGTTATCTGAAGTGCTGGTTGGAGTCAAGGCTTCCCTAGGTTCATTTTTCAAATCACTGATGCAGCTGTCTACTGTATGCTCCTCATCACTGCTAACCCGTCTTCTCTTTACTGGAGTGGCTCCCTCATCATCTGCATAGTTAAAATAGATATTGATAAAAAAATACAAATATCAATTGTCATACTGAACTATTTTTACTAGCAGAACAAAAATATTACATTCTTTTTATATATATTTATATATCCCTCCTCTTTTCCCAAAGGTGCTTTGAAATGTTTGAGAGTTTCAACCTAATTCTTCCTCCTGCTGGTGTTAGCACACTGCTTTGGAAATATTCTTGTTGATGAAAAGAAATTCTGGATCCAACTGAAATGCTTCCCACCCACTTGGTATCAGAAAAATTTCTGAGTTATTTCAATCCAATTTTTTAAAATTATCATTTGTCAATAAGTTTTCTGTTTAATTAAGTGCTGGTGTTATTTTATATACAAGCTTTAAGATGATTATCACCATCTTGTTACTCAATGTACATGATAAATTGGGTTCCTGTCAACAAGCAGAGAAACATTTAATTTTCAAGCTGTTGCAAGACTCTGCTGATTTTACTTTGTCAAGTTTAATGAGATATTCCAGAATATTTCCAGCTGAAATCAGAACAATCAGTAGATAGTTTCAAACATGATTCAGCAAGGAAAAGTTAAATAGGATCATCCCCCAAACTAGTTTTTTACTTGTAAACTGCCATCAGTCACTTGGATGGTGAGACGGATGGGCTATACATTTGATTAATAAATAAATAAAACAAACCTTTAGTTTTTCGTTCTTTGGCTTCTTGTTCCTGCAATGAGCTTTTTTGTTGTTGACAAGTTTTGCATTTGTTTAGTAGCTCTTGCAAAGTAGGTATTAGGGCAGGATTCAACTGTTTGGGGGTGTGCACAGAAAGCAGTAAAGAGAGAGCTCGAAGGTCCTATAAAAGAAAATTTAAGTCAAAGCATTTAATGAAATTGCATTTCATAAATTAATTTACTCTGTGTGTATGTAGATATTATATAAACAGTAACCAAAGAAATTGCACATATCTATTCCCGCAGAAGAAAATTCTGGCTCCTTTTTACATGTCAGTTTAAAAATGTGTATCCTGTATTTATAGCTTAAATCAAGAGGGAGGCAATGGTGATCACTGCTGTAAATCTAACAACGTTTAGGTAGTTTATTGTATTATGCTCAGATGAGAAAAAGAGATGACAGCATCTTTTACTATAACTAATTTATTGATTATAATTATTGTAATAAATAAGGTAAAATATACTAAATATGATGGAATATCATTTTACTAATATTATATTGAACAATGTATAACCTCAATAATTATCTGTTCATATAGTATTTTTTTGAAAATATGTATTTGTGTTAAAATAAAAATTTAAAAAAATACATTGTAACATGAATATTAAATGTAGAAAATGAATATGTATGTATGTATATGCTGTATTATTGATAAATGAATTTTAACTATTAACAAAAAATTAGCACTACAACTAAGTTTCCATTTTATTCTCTCCAGTCTTTTCAAAATGCCTAGTTTCAAAGCTTTTATTTTGGCTAACTCCTTTCTACTACACACCGTCACCTTTTAACATTTTCTGTTGCAATCCTCACCTTCTACAAACAGCATCTTACCCAGAGATAAGGATTGCATCCTCTCTCCTAGAGTTCCAAAAAACTTTGCATACCTGACCTGGGAATGATGTTTATTCTTTAAGCGTCTGCTTTGTTTTGTTGATTTTATTGTTTATTGGATCATTTTAGTCTGGGCTATCTGATTTTTTGTTTTTTGATGCTTTTGTTTTATTTTTATATGCCAAATATAATTCAAACATCTGGCTGACTGTGCAACAAATAATAATCATCACAATTCAGGATGCAAGTGTTCTGAGAACACACAGGCACCTACTTTTAAATTGTGTTTTGAATTTCTCTGGGCAAGAACTACTGTAGCAATTAACTTTTGAGCATTCCTAATATTTGGAAATTGAAAGTTGAAAAATTTGACACACACTAAATGTGTGTGTGTGTGTGTGTGTGTGTGTGTGTGTACATATACATATATGTAACATTTTACATATAATTTTATATATTATACATATAAAAGTGGGGGGCGGGAGGGGCTGGGCTGATACTGGTTCTCCTCAGTTTGGGCAAGCCTGTAGCTAGTTTTATGGCCGGTTCAGCAAAGCGGTAAATCCCACCCCTGGCTGGCCCCACCCTGCCCCTCCCAGGAGTCCTGATGCGACCCGTTTTAGATCCCAGGTAAGTGCAGGGCTCACACAGAGGCTTGGAGAGGGTGAAAAACGGGCCTCCCAAAACTTCCAGCCTCCAGAGCCTGGGAAGGCCCCTTTTCCCCTCCCGGAGGCTTGACGAAAACCACTGGAGCCTGGGGAGGGCAAAAATGCCACCCAGTCATGATGCAGGAGGCTGGCTAGGCCACGCCCACCATGGCCACATCCACCCAGCAATCAAGCAGGGAACTGGATGCTAAATTTTTGAAGCCCAGCCCTGGAGGAAGTGTTTGATAAGTAACTACATTTTGTAAGTTTCAAATATATGCATGCATGCATGCATGTATGAGTATATGCATATATAGATACATGCCTGTGATTTTAGGATTGTCATTTTTAACGTTTTCATCTGAGAAATAGAAAGAAAACTGTTTATTTGAAGAGAAAATAAAGTTTATTTACCCCATTTAAAGTGGAACTTGCTTTAAAAATTTCAACTCGCTGATTGGCAAATTCTGATTCCAGATTCTGATATTGGTTGATCAAATTTGTAATCAGATTATTGATTATTCCAGCACAATTTGCTTCAGAAAACACTTGTCCTTGTACCTGTAAAATAAGGGATTCTGAAACCTAAATTGCAATTCAGTGAAATGATCTCATCATAGCACTATTTTCTATTGTAAACCGAACTATGGATGTGGAATTTGAAAGAAAGAGAGGAAGTGTCTGTGGAAAACCAATCTATATTGAAGCTCTGACCTAGACATAGCTATTTTTCGTACCTTGAGAAGGAAATGAGTCAAGAAAGTGTAAACAATATTGTTGTTAAGAAATGTCCTCTCATCCATTAGGATGCATTTAATATATTCTGCAAACACAGGATCTTCACACAGGAGCTTGATGCAATTCTTTGACATGGAAGACTGAAAAGAGAAAGGAGATCAGAGCTTCAGAATTAGTATTCCACATATCCACTGTGGATATGTGATTTCAGTTTGTTACACAGAGGTGTTTCGCGTAAGTCATTCATTGGAACTGAACTCAGAATTTTCTGAGAAGAGAACCAGAGTGTAACAACTCCTCAGTATCTTTCAGCCTGTCCTTTATTAATAAAACACATTGATTAAAATCAACCTCTGCTGTGCTTCCCATAAAGTATTACATTTGGAGTTACTAGAATCTCAGCAACTTTTAGGAAAAAGTCTAAGTCGGCAGCAAGAGAAAGCCTGTATGAAAATGCCATGAATTGAAGGTAGGCCTTTCTCTATTCATCATCTGTCATTAAATGATGATCAAACACACACTTTTACTTGTCAAATAAAAACATCCCTTTCAGATATAAATTAATTTTACCTGACTTTGACAAAGCTCAGTCCAAAGTTTGGGAAACAAAGCTAGATGAAGAGGTAAGCCTTCATATGCAACAAGAACACCTACATTTTAAAAATAAAAATGCAATTAAGTTCTTAAGATTATAAAGATATAGATATGCCAGAAATACAGTTGTTTAACTCTTAACAGTTATGAAGAAAACTAGGCATCATGAGCAATACAAACTGTCATGGGAGTTGCAAGTTAAGCAAATAAATAATTGATTTTAAAAGTAAAACAAATCTACAGTCACTACCTAAATGACCTTGTTCCAATTTCCAATTAAAAATCATGTTGTGTTTAATAGAAGTAATTTAAATATAAATATACCCAAATTCACTGTTTATCATGTTTTAGTCTTACATTACCTTGTCTTTCTAGTTTATTCTGCAGTTAGGTAGCAATGCAATACAATTTAAATGAAGTTCTACATCTTTGAATTTACACTTAGGCTTCTATGTGTAATCCCAACTTGCTATTTTAGCAAATCAAAACTGAATAAAGCAATTCTTCATGTAATTTTTATAAAAGAGAAAATATTAATATAATCTACTTACCTTCAATGAATTTAACAATTAAACATTTATTAATTCTGATGTTGCAAATTTACTCTTCCACAAACACAAGGCTTGCTAAGCACTGGCCTATGCTCTAAACTAAAGAACAGGCCTTAACTAATACAGGGGTCCCCAACCTGTGGGCCATGGCCCACTAGTGGGTTGTGAGGGGTTTGCAACTGGGCCACGTAAACAGCTGAAGTGCACATCCTCACTTGCTCAAGCAATGGGTGAGCTCCATTTAAATGAGCAGCAGGTGCACGTGCACATTGTTTGTACAAATGGAGCTGCTCACGTGCGTGTGCCGAATGCTCACAGAACTATCCCCTTCACCCATTGCTCCACAAAACCGAAAACTTTGAGGAACTTTGAACTAATGTGTTTGTTAAAGGAATCTTTTAGATATGCTACAAATTCATACTTACTCATTTTCACTAAGGTTTCTGTGAATTTCTCACAGTTGATGGCAACTCGGCATAAGAGATGGATGAACTGATGGTATGAAAAAAAGTAATCTAGTAGCATACGGTCATAAACCTCATCTTTACCCTGAAGATTTAAGGAAAATTCTGTTTACAAAATAAAAACATGGAAAGTATAATATCTAAATGTGAAAAATGAACTATTTTCAAAGGACTATGATAAACTCTCGCTAAAAAACTACAGAACTTGGTTCAAAAATTATTTGCTACAAAACTTGGGCATTTTAGGGATTATTAAAACTTACACAAATGTGTAGGAAACCTAAGATGTTAATAGGAATGCACTGTTTTCTTATTTACCACTTTCCCACTCTCATTTAAAGACTGAGCATATCTGAAACCCAAAGTATTTGTAGGGATTTTTTGGGATCAAAGATGTGAGTGACAAGTAGAGGCATCTTTCTCTCTTAAGAAAACTACTATAATAAAGCTGCCATTGGAATTTTTTTATGTGTGATAAATTAGGCCAATGAATACAATTAATTAAACCAAATACATTCAGCAGTGCAGTTCTCTTCACCAACAACCACATGACAATTATTCTCAAGACTCAACAATCAAGGCATGCCCATGATTGATCAAATGTTACATAAAGGAAACATTTACTTTCCTGATAGATATTTTGTTTTAATTGAATTTTAAATTCAAGATCCTTATTTATTGTTTTAATATTTTGTAGTACATTTTAATTAAATATTTGTAAATCACCCAGAGTTGTTTCGTGAAGATGGAGGGCATATAGGTTTTGTAAATAAATAAAATAAATACCTTGTTAGCTTCTACCATTGTAGGCAAAAGGCACATATTAAGTTCAGGGCGAGGTGGGCGGATATTACTTTTACCTCCTATCAACTTCAGATTTTCACGGCATGGGAAATAAGGACCAAGAGACACTGTAGTGGAAAGGAAAAAGGAGAGGCATTAACCAAATGTGTAAATTTTTACAAGAAGTGGCCATTCTGATTCTCTATCCCTCAAAAATGATAATTTTAATCATAATATTTTTTAAAAAAATGTTCTTTCTAAAATAATGGAAAACATAGACAAGAATAAATAGTAAATTTAAAATTTAAAAAGCAAATAGGTATTTACCCATTACATTTTGTTGCCTAAAAAGCAACCACTGTTATTTTATTTAAAGTAATATAACAACAAATACATAGATAGATGTAAAACAATTAACTTCATGGTCTATTTTTTATGTTTGGCTGCTGCTAATACAGCTATTCTCTGTGGAAATTAATTGCTACTGCTATAAGAGGAATCCATTCCCATCTCCTTATGTCAGACAGGTTGAAACAATCAACATTTATTCTGAATAAGGCATGGATAATACAGCAAAAGGCAGCGAGAAGACAGCTTTTTACCCTAGAGGATGAACCCTGCTACCTCATGGTACCTAAGAGGCAGCCCAGAATCAGACAATAGTTATTCTTTTCCTCTTTAAAACTTTGTTTAAGTAATATTATTTTATACTTGACACACAAGTAGAAATTTAACCCACAAGCTTTCTCGTTTTTTTTTTCTTTTTATATTGTTTCTATAGTAGAGACAATGATTCGCACCCAAAGATTTTATTATGATGTTTAGGTTCTCCACCTAGCTTAGAATAAGGAACAGAATAGTCCTCTTTATTATCCATGCAGTTGCATTATGCACCAGTTGAAGTTTCTAAATGCTTTTCGGGGGCAACCCCATATGGTGTGTGTTATGGTAGTCTAAATGAGAGGTTATAAGGGCATGAGTTACCCTGAGCAGGGCCTCCCTGTCCAGGCTATGCTAGGCTAAAGAATCCTCTATGCTTAGGAAAGGGTAACTGTAGTGGCTGGTATCTTGTTAATATGTATAATACAGATTTCCTTACCTTCAATCCTTTTCTGCTTTTTACCTTTTCAGTCTCCTCCCACCCCCAACTTTTTTATGGAGATTTGTATTATCTGAATTGTAATTGAAATATAGGCAGCTCTTGACTTACAACCACAACTGGGACTAGAATTTCCATCATTAGGCAAGGTAGTTGTTAAGCGAGTCATGCCCAATTTTATGACCTTTTTTGCTGTCAAGTGCCTGAATTTGTCAAGCACCTGAAATTTGATTAGGTGACTTTGGGGATGCTATAACAGTTGTAAGTGCAAGGACTAGTCGTATAAGCCACCCTTTTCAGTGTCATTGGAACTTTGAACAGTTACATATTTGCATACATGGATATGATGGAATTATTTTTAAGAAGAGCAATTGGCTCAAGAAGAGAGAAAGAAGAGCAAAATGAAGATATAAAGCAGAACTGAAACCAGTTAAAAGTAGTAAAAGATTGTCCAATAACTGCTATTTTTATCATGTTTTATCACATGCAAGATGATACCACACAACAAAATCCAATCCCTTTGTCCAGTGATACTAAGGCAGTTCTGCTAAAGCAATGTGAATTTGAGCAACTATGATAGTTAAGTAATTCCTTTGGCTGATGGATCTCAGCAGCCATCAAAGCCTCCACAATTATGCCAGGGAGAAAAAGACACATGTGATACAATGGAAGAGAATACTTCACAGGAGGTTTGAGGCCTTGGCACTTGCATTCCAAATCTGTATGTGGACAGAGGAAAATGGCAGATCTATGTAATTTGTGTAGCTGCTGCTGGGACAGATTTTCTATAGGACATGCTTCAATTTCATGGATTCTAATCTCGTAATTAGGATTTTGAGTGCAAGATTTCATTTGCTGAGCATCAATTCCTTTTGTGGGAACCATTTTATGTACTTGATGTGGAAACATTTGAAATTGATAAAACAGGTGAACATATGCTGAGAATATTTATCTTTCTGAATGATACACACCTAGATAATTCTAAAGAAAGCTCTAGATCAAGTGTTATTTTTTATTCATTTTAAGAAGATTGATAAGAGCTTTCCATATTATAACCCTAACTTAACTCTAACCTTAAACTTGGCTAGTTCACAAGACAATAAAAACAATACCTCCCCCCCAAAACAACCTCAATTAAAATTCCTTTCATCCCAAGGCAAACTACATATTACTTTGCTGAGTTCAAGCCTCATTCTATCCCTATTCCCCTTTTCACTTAAAATGGAAAAACTACAGGTAATCCTCAGTTTATAATGGCAATTTGGACCAGAAATTCCACCGTTAAGCAGTGCAATTATAAAGCATTATGTCATATGACCATCCCACATAGCACCAACATGAGCATTCCCAGTTGCTATCATTAAGCAAGAGCTGCAGGTGATCACAAATTCTGACTTCCTGCTGGCTTCCCATTGGCTTTCCACTATTTGAGCTTGGCCTTCGAATCTTAGCTGTTTTGGAAAAAGAAGAGATGACCACTGTGTATCAGGGGATTATCTCCCTCTCTTTCTCTATTTATTTAGAGAGATTATTGATTTTGGTATCCAGAAACAATGCCTTAACAATATGCAATTCACTTTAGGTTGCCTAAAATATATTTTTCTGATTGAGAAGAGTATTTTGCAAAAGCAATCTTAACAGTAATAAGCTTAAAAAATCTGTCAATAATTGAATGCCGTGGGTTAGTTAGATTGGTCATATTATTTGCAGTTAATTGAATTTCCCACCTCACCTCTCAAACTACCTCCTGCCTCAAAGTAAATCTCAAAATAATTTTATTATATTGTAAATGTATATTTCTATGTCATCTGAATAGACATACTTGGTATGTTGCTGTGATGGTATGTGCAATGGTTGTGCTGGAGAAAAGGAACTAAAGTGTGCAGAAAATCATGAGGGCTTAAAAGCACCAGTTCCTTGAGGACATCTGCAAAAGAAAGAAAGAAAAGACGTATTAAATTATTTATTGATTGGACTTATGTGATGCTTCATGGCAGCAGAATTATGCTCTTAAAAAGAAATCTGCACTCTAATAAACTTTGCATAAATATTTGTATAAATTCAAACTAGGAAAACATAGACCCGATTAGACCATAATTATTTGCTATCATTTAGGCATGATATTAAAATCTGATTCATGATTTATAGAAATGTTATTCAGCCAACCTGATGTTTAGTATCATCCACTTACTTGGCAATTTGCAAAAATAAAATACTGCAACCAATAGAGCATTGTGTCTTTGTTTTATTTTATAATCACTTTATAAATTTTAAGCTTTATCCATTGCATCTTATATTGAATTAGAAGTTGCTGAGGAGGATTCCTTGCTAACTTTCTAAAATTGTTAGTTGTGATAATAATAGGCTTTAGTAACTCCAAATGAATCTTTAAATGCCAACTCAAGGACCATTTCATGATTAATCAGAACATCTGATTCAACCTTGTGCCTTTAGCTCTTCCTGTGAGTGGGGCAAATTGCTAATCACTACTTTTGTTATCCAATTTATATTTCTAGTTACAGTTTACCAAGGAATGTTGCTACTGATTGAACATAGAGTTAACTATTATGCTACTTGTGCCTTCATTTTAGACGCCAAGTACTGCAGTTCTTAACCAAACTTAGACATTAATACTTGAATAGAAGTCCACCAGAACTACCAGGCCTTTAAACTAAACTGAGAAACTAAAGATAACATCTGGATGGCAAACTATTTCCACCTTACTGCAAAAAGCTACACGGGCCTGTGCATGAACTCACTATTATTCTTAAGAAGTAACAATAGTTGTGAGCAAAGCTGGGAAGAAAAAAACAGATCTTAGGAAAGTAGAGAGTAAGAGGATGGAATCTATCTTCTCTTTTATTATTTTTAGTTTGTATTTATTTTTATTATTATAATGTAAGTTAAATTACTATAAAAAGAGAAACTATCAATGTTGACAATGACTTGATGGCACATAATCAATCAATCATTCAAGTAAGCCTTATTCTTTAATTCTATTGCTCTCTATTGCTTCCCCTACATCAGAAATGGAAGAGTGTCTATTTATTTTATCTTTTATGTGATTGATGGGTAATCTGAGATCAAAGAAAGTACATTAGGTTTAATATACTTTACCTATACAAGCATTTCTAAGTTCCGGAGGACTGTAGGAATTTAGCAAAGTTAAAAGTTTATGGGCAAATTCTATCCGCTCTTGCCATTGGATAAGGGCTTGTTTCACATCTGAAAATATACAATCAAATTAATATAGTTTACAACTCTGCATATAAACAGTTGATTGATAGTGACTTATTATACCTTGGTTCTCATCTATTTTATTTAAAAAAAATAAAACTTACATTTAATAAATAATATCCAAACCTTTTCTTTGAAGATATGGCCGGGTGGATTTGAGGACGGAAAGAAATATGGACAGAAGCTCAACCAGATCTCCAGTTACATGGCAAGCTGTGGCTTCATGGTACATCATGTGCAGTGTATTGAAGGACTGCCAAATATATATATTAGATGATAATAGCATATTACTAACATGTAAAGATTGAATTCCACATACAAGATATCCTAATTTACCTTATTTTGCAATATCCCACCCACTAAAAGGCTAAAATAATAACAATACTCCTCCTACCTCAGTCATCAGAATTAAGCCTCTGTTAAATATGACAAGAAGCCGATCTTCGTCAGTTTCTAATAATATTCGGAAGGCACTTGGAGCAAAACAGTGAAGAAAAAAATAATGTAAGGTTAAAATCTGTCTTAATATTGGCACAGCAGTTGAATCCTAAACAGAATGCACATCATTAAAATACCATTTTGATTTCCAAATCTGATCTTGTATTATCGCTATATTTTTTTTATCCTTACTAAGAAAACATACTATGGAAGAAAGGGCATGTCCAAGAAAAAAAAAACATTCTATATGAGAGTGAGATCTCTGTAATGTTCACTTGGAGGTAGGAAGGCCTGAACTACTATTGCTACTTAGAAAGCTAAACATTGAAGTGGGTGATAAACAAAATTTACTGGGCAATACAAATAATTAAAGAAATAGGATTGATGCATCTGATATGACAAAGGCATTGCTATGTCCTGACATGAGATACAGATGTTGCTAAATTTCCTTTCCCTATTATAAACTCCATACAGGATTCTCAAGAATATCCCATTTTAGTAACTATTTCACAGTAGCAAGCAGACATTATAACAAATTTTGTCACCAACAATTAATTTTTTTTTCCGATAGCTGTAGCATATTGCATCCCTTCATGGATCACTGCCTTGCACAGTTCAATGAAGCTATGAGCTATGCCATGCAGGGCCACCCAAGATGACAGGTCACAGTGGTGAGTTCTGACAAAATGTGGTCCACTGTATCCTTACTAAGAAAATCCCATGGACGGTATCAAAAGGCTAAAAGATATGATGCCAGAAGATAAGCCCTGTAGGTCAGAAAGTGTCCACTATGCTACTGGAGAAGGGCAGAGGGCAATTACAAGTAGCTTCAGAAAAAGTGAAGTGAAAGGACGCTCAGCAGTGGATGTGTCTGGTAGTGAAAGGGAATCCTATGCTCTAAAGAACAATATTGCATAGGAACCTGGAATGTAAGACCTGGAATGTATGAATCAAGGTAAAGTGAATCTAGTCATACATGAGATGGCAAGATTGAACATTGATTTATTGGGAATCAGTGAATGGGAATGGGCAAATTTAATTCTGATGACCATTATATCTACTATTGTGAATCCCTTAGAAGAAATGGAGTAGCCCCCATAGTCAATAAAAGAGTGAGAAAAGCAGTACTAGGCAGGAATGGGTTTCTACCGGTTCTGTCCACCTCTGTAGAACCGGTAGCTCTGAAGAGCAGCAGACATATTATGTCTGCTAATGGTTTTGCCCACCTGCCCACCCGGGCTCTTACCTGACCTTTATTTCCTGCTTTTTCAACTTCAGCTGCTATGCGAGGCACAGCTGCAGTTAAAAAAGCAGGAAAAAAGTGCTTTTTCAAAGGCTGCTTCTCTGCACACAGCGTGCTAATGACGATTTACAGGAGCGGGCGTGTGCGCAGGAAAGCACATCATAAATCACTGAACCTCGTATATCACTGAACCGGTAGTTAACCCTGTTGGATCCCACCCCAGTACTAGGGTACAATTTCAAAAACAAGAGAATGATCTCAGTTCGAATCTAAGACAAATCATTCAACATCGCAGCAATCCAAGTCTATGTCCCTAATCACTGATGACAAAAGAAACTGAAGCTGATCGGTTCTATGAAGACCTAACAAAACTTTCTAGAACTAATACCAAAAAAAGAAGTCCTTTTCATCATAGGGGATTGGAGTGCTAAAGTAGGAAGTCAAATGATAATCGAAAAATAGACACATTTAGCCTTGGAGTACAAAATGAAGTAAAGGCTGACAGCGTTTTGTCAAGAAAACAAGCTGCTCATAACAAACTCTTTTCCAACAACCAAGAGACAACTCTACACATGGACACTGCCAGATGGTCAATACCGAAATCAGACTGATTATGTACTTTGCAGCCAAAGATAGAGAAACTGTATTCAGTCAATAAAATCAAGACCTGGAGCTAACTGTGGTTCATATCATGAGCTTCTTATTGCAAAAAGAAGGTTCAGGTTTAAATTGAAGAAAGTAGAGAAAATCACTAGGCTATTCAGGTAGGACCTAAATCACATCATATCCCCATATGTATATATAGTGGAAGTGATGAATAGATTTAAGGGGTTAGATCTGGTAGACAGAATGCCTGAAGAACTATAGAAAGAGGTTTATAACATTGTACAGGAAGCAGCAACTAAAAGCATCCCAAAGAAAAAGAAATGCAAGAAAGTGAAGTGACTGTCTGATGAGGCTTTACAAATAGCTGAGGAAAGAAGGAAAGTGAAAGGCACGGGAGAAAAACAAAGACACACCGAACTGAATGCAGATTTTCAGAGAATAGCAAGGAGAGATAAGAAGGTCTTCTTAAATGAACAATGCAACGAAATAAGAAGAAAACAATAGAATGTGAAAGACATCTAAGACTAGACATCTCTTGAAGTAAATTGGAAATTGTCAAGGGAATGTTTTGTGCAAAGATGGACCCAATAAAAGGCAAAAATTTTGAGACCTAACAGAAGCAGAAGATTAAGAAGAGATGGCAAGAATACACGGAAGAACAATACAAGAAAGATTTTAATGTACCTAATGACAACAACGGTGTGATCGCTGACTTCGAGTCAGACATCTTGGAGTTTAAAGTCAAGAAGCAATACTAACAACAAAACTAGTGAAGGTGCAGTCAATGTGCCACCAAATTTGGAAAACTTTACAGTGACTACAGGATGGGAAAAGCTCAGTTTACATTTCAATCCCAAAGAAAGGCAATGGCAAAGAATGCTCATACTAGCATACAACTGAGCTCATTTCAATAAGGTTTATATTCAAAATCCTACATGGTAGACTTCATCAGTATGTGAATTGAGAACTGACAGAAGTACCAACTGGGTTTCAAAGTGACAGAGGAACTAGAGATCAAACTGCCAACATTTGCTGGATTATGGAGAAAGCTAGAGAGCTCCAGAAAAACATTTAATTCTGCTTCATTGACTATGCTAAAGCCTTTGCTTGTGTGGATCACAATACACTGTGGCAAGTTCTTTTAAAAATGGGAGTACCAGACTACCTTACCTGTCTCCTGGGAAACCTGTACATGCGCCAAGAAGCCACAGTTACAACCAGACAAGGAACAACTGGTTGGTTCAAAATAGGGAAAGGAGTACAACAAGGCTGTATATTGTCACCCTGATTATTTTAACTTATATGCAGAGTGCAACATATGAAATAAAGGGCTGGATGAATCACAAGCCAGAATTAAGTTTGATGGGAGAAATATCAACAACCTCAAATATGCAGATGATACCCCCCTAATGGCAGAAAGTGAGAAGGAACTAAAGAGGCTCTTGATGAGGGTGAAAGAGGAGAATGTAAAAGTTGGCTTGAAACTCAACATTAAAAAAAAAAAAACCTAAGATTATGCCATTTGGTCTTATCACTTTCTGGCAAATAGAAAGGGAAAAATGAAAACAGTGACAGATTTTACTTTCTTGGGCTCCAAGATCACTGCTGACAATGACTGCAGTCATGAAATGAAGACACTTGTTCCTTGGGAGGAAAGCTATGATACACCTAGACAGCATATTAAAAAGTAGAGTTATCACCTTGCTGACCAAGGTCTGTATAGACAAAGCAATGGTTTTCCTAGTAGTAATGTATTGCTGTGAGAGTTGGACCAAAAGGAAGGCTGAGTGCCAAAGAACTGATGCTTTCAAATTGTGGTGCTAGACAAGGCTTGTTCCTTGGACTGCAAGGAGTTTAAATCAGACAATCCTAAAAGAAATCAACCCTGACTGTTATTTGGAAGGACAGATACTGAAGCTGAAGTTAAAATACTTTGGTCACTTAATGAGAAGAAAAGACTCATTGGAAAAGACCCTGATGTTGGGGAAGATTGAGGGCAAAAGGAGAAGGGGACAGCAGAAAATGAGATGGTTAGATAGTGTCATCGACACAATGAATATGAACTTGGGCAAACTCAAGGAGATAGTGGAGGACCCAGTGGCCTGGCGGTCATGAAGAATCAGACATGACTTAATGACTGAACAACAACAAAACATATTGCAAGAATAAAATGCATGGAAAAGCACCAAAATTACTCTATATCAACAAACCAAACGTGAAATACCTTATTAAAGTAGTCCAGCATGACCGTCCATCTAAGCAGCGAAGGTAACAGCTTATAGTCGTTTTTTTAAATTGCTTAATGTCTTCCAGTTCTTCCTCTCTCATATCAGGCCTCTGAGCTACAAAGAGTTGCATGAGATTAAACAGTTCTTCCACTGCCTAAATAAAGAGAAGAAATATCATGAGGCTTATTTTAGGGGGGGAAGGGGAGAGAACCAAATTCCAGTTATTGTTTAGAGTAAGGTAAATGCTTTAAAAGACAATGAGTATGCTAAAGGTATTCATACTGTATTCCAAAAACACTCTTGGTTTCACATGCTCTCGAGCTTTTACTTTTTTCTATAATATTTCTTTTCCAGTTCTGCAACTTGAACTATGTTTAAAAATGAAAGAAAAATGGACCAAACTCTAATACAAATAAACACAGTGAATCTTTGTTGAAATGGACCGGTTTGGGGAAGATGTCCACTGCCCCTGAAGCATTAAATATGAACAAATGTTAGTTACATAACCATTTGCAAATCACATAAAAGATATGGTTAATATAAATGTAATTGCTTCATCTGAATTCCTTTGGGTGCATCATGACTTGTTAATTAATTCAGGGACATACCTGGGTGAAAATCTGGTCCACTGTATTCTTAGCCTACTAAATGGGGTCCATTAATTCCAGGTTTTACTCTATGCTGGGTTATTACTGAAAACTAGATTTAGTATATATTTTATATATCATACGTAAAGGTTTCCCTGTCAGTCGTGTCCAATTCTAGGACGTGGTACTCACCTCTGTTTCTAGGCAAAGAGAGTCAGTGTTGTCTAAAGGCAATTTCTGTGGTCATGTGGCCAGCATGGCTATATGCTAAAGGTGCATGGAATGCTGTAACTTTCCCACTTGAAATGGTACCTATTAATCGACTTGCACTTGCATGCTTTTGAACTATGCTAGGTGGGCAAGAGCTGGGGCTAAATAACAGGAGATCAGCCCACTGAGCAGAGCTCAGTTCTGGAACCTGGGCTGTCAGCTCTGCAGCTGCTGAGCTCAGCGTCTTTAGCTGCTGAGCCATTGCGCTCCTCCCTTTTATCATCTCTTTCTCTCATCAGTCTGTCTGTCTGTCTATCTTATATATTTATATATCATAAGGGTATCTTATATATTTAATATAAAAGAGCTGTTTTATTTCTATACCATTCTTCCTATTAAGAGAGCAAAGAATTATTTTGCTTCTTGAACTCGTATATATTTTACCTCCTTCATAGTAATCATATCTTATGCACTAGGAAGGGAGAATGGCAGTGATCTCAGTTGTAGAGGAACTGCCCAAATAATGCCGATTCTACTAAGATGGTGAGGCAATAAAGAAAAGGAAATGTATGGCACAAAATTAATTGTATCATAGCTGCCATCAGACAATGATAGAACTGCTGGTAAGCTCATCTTCTGAGAATTTTCTTAGTTTAAATTAGAGCAGAATATATTTTCACTATTATCAATTGACTTCTTTGAATCTGGCAAAAAGATACAGTTTTATTTTCGGACATTTCATTCATGTGAATACTCCTATCACCTACCCTTCCATAGACTGCTGCTGTTTTTAATGCTGTTCTCTCAAAAATTTCTATCTGTCTTTCACTCTGTATGAATTTGACTTACCCCAGGATATTGGCTGGCATGTGGTGTGAGATTCTTAAATGCCCATTGAATATTTTGATGAGAAGCCAACTGTCTGGTAAATGCAGGGGATTGTTCACAGCATAGCCGCAGAATGCCATAGTAGGCAGGTAGCATCCCACGGTTAAAAAGCACCACATCCTGGTCATCATGATCTGCTAGGATGTAATTGAAGGCAATGTTCTTGGTCACCACTGGATTCTGCACAATAAGGCGCACATTTTCAGGGCAGTCAACGCAGACATTGTACCAAAAAGAGAGCAGGGCCTGCTTATTATGGTTGGTAGCAATAGCAGGCTCAGAAAGTTTAGGTTGAAAGAGGTTCCACAAATCCATGAAATAAGTAGAAAACATTAGTTTTTCTGTTTTGGAGATCAAGCAGTAAGTCATAAAACTGAAGTAGGGTACCAGTTTTGTAGTTCCATGCACAGCAGCATCAACATAAAGCTTAGCTCTTGAGAGCAGTCCAAGCAACACATTATAAACTTGATGAAGAACAACTGTAGTATCTGGACTAAGGGGAAGATCTCGAGTAGGGATATGGAGTGAGCGGGTAGATCGGAACATTTGTCGGAATGAATTGCTTGGAATAAGAGAGACCAGAAGATAGGCTGCAGCTGCAAAATAATAAATACACAGGTTAAAAAAAGAAGCTAGACTTTTTGGCTGTGCACATTCTCACCCTAAAATAAATTTTGTTTGTTTAAAATTTGTTCACAAAAACACTCTAACCATATGACACAACGTATAAAAGAAAAATATAGTTATTGGCAGAGAGATCACAATAACAAGCAATGCAGAGACTTCAATTCCTTGCTTTCTAAATTGTTGTATGTAATACTGAGTATTGAAATAAATATTTCACTCATTTTTAAAAAATCTTGTTTATTATATTAGGAAATAAATAAAAGAAAATGTCCACATTTTCACACATAAACAATGAACTTATTTATTGGAAATTAAGAAGAAGCCAATTATTTTCTGCTTAGCAACTTACAAGTTCTCACTCTAGGATAGTTATGAGCCAAAAGAAAACGTTCTACCCAGTTCTCCATATTCTGCAGGACCCAGCTGTGGGCAAGCTTATTTCGTGGTGTCTGTACTGCTAGCCAATCCAGACATTGAGATGGGTTGTACTCAATCACCTACAAATATTGGAAAAATGGACAAACAGTGAAACCTAAAACAAAATCTAGACTATTGGATAGCACTCTATATATCAATAGCTCAGCTAGTAAACAGGCAAGCTGAATCTTTTACTACAGGGGTCCCCAACCCTCAGACTGGTAGGGAATTGGGCCATAAAACATAAGGTGAGCATGCACAAACACACCCCCCCCGCTAGTCTGTGGGACCAGAAAGGTTGGGGACTGCTGTTTTCCTAGTTTTATTTACTAACCATGGCAAAAAGGCTGCCAAAGGTACTATATTTTCTGTCAGACAATAACTCTTAGTCTAGGAGTGTAAAAATTAAGTCTAATAATCTTTACAGCATAGACATTATACTGCTTATTTTCTCGCAATATTATAGAGATATGTATTTAATATAGGCATCCTTTACCTCCCATATCCTTTGGAGAATATATGATGCAAATGGTGGCATTCCTGGAGGTCCACCAGCAAATTCCATAAGCATAGTTAACAACTTGAAAAAAGGATTGGCTGCCTGAAGTTGAAAACAAGAAGAAAGAACTTGTATTGTATAAGGAATCCGTAATGGGGTTTTTTTAATATTGCAAGTCATAACTGATTTTATTCAATTATTTACTTATGCCCATTTAAAACACATATTCTAAATACACACATGTACTAATGACTTGTTTGTGATTCTAAGCAGCTTAATAATATTCACATACGACACTATCATTAATACGGAACCCAAAAAGTTAAGATTTAAACAAACCCCTTTTCTTAACTCTCAGAAGAATGTGAGCAGCTTCATCACCAGAATTAATTATTGCTATATCACATCACAGATTTAATAGAAATAATTATTTATATGTTTATCTTAGGCAAGTCTTAAAGCTGGAAGCGCAGACACACACACACACACACACACACACACACACACAAAATCCAAGGATATGGGTCAGAAGCACATATAGCATGGTCATTATCAGGAAGAACAACCTGTCCAGGTCAGGCATTTATTCTAAACCTTATACTCAAATTCTGGTATTAGCAATAAATCTTAATGTCAAGCTTCATCTTTGGATTTACAAAGCAAATATTTGTCAGAGATTTTTAGTCCATTTGTGATCATGAATCAGCAGGCTTTCTTTTTATCTTTTCAGTTGATGTTACACCTGCTTATACTGAAGATAATCATAGGCAATAGATAATTTTGAACTGGCACTCTGATGAAAAAGCCAAAAAGTGCCTATAAGGAAATGAAAATCAGAGAAGAGTCTTGTAGATAGATCCTAAAGACTGAATCCACTTCAAGGCAACCATTTCTTACACAGAAGAAAAAGCATATTCAATAAATGTTCACACCCTGATTCTATTTCTTGATGAAATAAAACTCTGGCCTTTGAACATTTTCTTATTTGTTAATTCTGGTCAGTGTCCACTCTGACTGGCTATATGATATACAGGGCTTCATACAGAGAACAAAAAGTAAAGGTTTCCCTTCAGTTGTTTCTGAATCTAGGGCACAGTGCTCATCTCAGTTTCTTGGCCAAGAGACCCAGCATTGTCCAAAGACATCTTCCAAGGTCATGGGGCCAGCATGGTTATACACCAAAGGCACATGGAATGCTGTTACCTCCCCAGTGAAATTTTCTTCTTTTATATGCTTTTAAACTGTAAAGTGGACAGGAGCTGGGACAAGTAATGAGAGTTCACCTCGTTGTGTGGAGCTTGGGTCTTGAATCTGGGCTGTTGCTCTCCAGCTGACAAGCTCAGCATCTTTAAATTATGAGCCCCCACAGATAACAACTTATGAACTACCTGATCTTTTGAACTGGAGTTTCTTGGCCTTATAAAATACAGAATAGAATGCTGGAGTTATCCATGCAACATCTTGTATGGCACATTTGTAGTATTATTGATGTGCTACATTTATATCCCATTTTCTCCATTAGTTCAATGCAACATACATATAGATCTCCCTTCATCCCATTCATCCCTCAACCATCATGTGAGAAGCTGATGCAACAGAAAGCTTCAGCCAAGTTATCCAGTGATTTTTACTGGGTGAACTAAAACTGGGTTACCCCAGTCATAGTCAAGCATCTTAATCAACATATCATATTGGCTCTCTGAATGGCAACATAGTCAAATACTCAAGAGAAGCATGTATGGCAACCTAGGTTATCTTTAAGTAATTCTCTGCATTTTGAATTATGACTAAGCTATTAAGACCTGAGTTTGGGATGGCTGTAACTTCTCACAAGATCTTGACTAAAATTCTCTATAAAAACTTTCTTTGATAGTTGCTCACTCCTGCTGATTCCAAAGAAGTGATAGTAACATCTAGTTGCCTGTTACCTTTATTTTGGATTAAGGGCATTGGCCTAACATTTGTCTTTTGTTTCAACAAGAGTATTATGCCAAAAGTTAGGCCTAGATTAGAAACAGATGCTATAGTCCAAACAGACCAAAATCCACAAGCTCCACAACCCAATTATATGGGAAAATGTGAGATTACCAAGCTTCTGTTGTGAAGAATACAATGCTTAGAAGACATACACGGTATCTTAATCAAGTGTAGAAATTGAATTAAAGTTTCTGGAATTTTCTCCCTTCTCTTTTTGTCATGGAAGGAGGATCATATTTCACTATAGGATCATTATATTGGGGACAAATCTAAGAATGTTGAATATGACCATCAAACAATATAATATGTGGTAGCAAAATACTGCATACCTCAGGAGTCAACTTGGCTATAGATGTGAAAAGCATGGATACGATCTGTAAGAGAGGAAGAAATCCTTTCATCATATGCAACTCTAATGCAAGTATTCCAGTTAGGCTCTCAGAGTGGATATAACTAATAACAGCTAGTAACTTACATGTTCTGCAAGTCTGTTGTTATATCGACAAAGACTGAAAATAAGATTGCAGGTCTGCCTAATATTGATTCCATCTCGAATATGTTGGAATAAGAAAGGAAAACCCTGGAACAAATTCAATGAGTTACTGTAGCAGATTTTTTTTTAAAAAAAAGCGTTTTAAAACTATTAATTGTTGTTTTTCATGTCCAGTTATTACCTTGCCTCCAGTTAATGCTGCCATATCATTTTGGGATAAAGTCAAATGCCTAAAACACATATAAAGAATGGACCAATTCATTTCGTTAATCAACCAATTAGTAAAAACAAAATTGCTTTCCTGAATTTTCTTGGAATAGTCCATGTAAAAACCACACTTTTAGGAAATCAGGCAGCTGACAAATGCTGGGAAACTCAAGCAAGCCATGCTGTTAAGATATATTGAATCTCCATTAAGTAGGAACAAGGAACAAACAAACAAAGAGAACTTTTCACTGTTCTGGACCCCAAATCAGGGTACAAAAACTATGTACTGATTTTAATGGCAAAAATATGCAAAATATGGACTACAATCAAGCAACTATTTTGCCCTGTGAATGTTTGATATATGGCTGACAACTTCAATTTAGAATGTTGACAGATAAATGATTAGCAGTTCTACTGCTAGTTCAGATAACATTGACATAAATGAGGAAGAATATTTGATAATATACAGTAAACCATTACATCTATTTTGTATAGCTTAGGACTTTTTTCAGGGGGGAAAATTACCCCAAAGTCAGAACACTCCTCAGAATCACTCCTGTGAATTGAGTGATATCATCCCCCCTCATAACATGGCCCTTTATAACATCTTCTAACAAACATGTAGCTTTTCAAGCTAGGTGCCTTGGCCATCGGATGGAAAAGAACAATTCTGGGGATGGCCAGATGGCACAATTTAATGGATCAGATTTTTGCTTCCAAAGTTAATAATGACTGGCAGCAGTTCTCTGAGATTTTTGATAGAAGTCTTTAACCACTTTACTTGGAGATGACAGGAATTGAACCTGAGATCTTTTGCAAATGACATATAAGCTAGTAATCTGAGGCCCTGCCTACTTAGCATGTATACAATTACTAAACTCTCTTATTTTGCACTGATTCAGGCATGCATTATCAAATAATCTTTATCACTGTCAGACTATATTCTACTTTTTCAACAGTATAAACAAACCTAATAAAGAAAAAATGTTAGAGATGTCCAATGTGTTATCTCAATATCTCAAAGAAAACAGACATATACATATATATAAGCCCATCCATGGTTAAACCAACCCTCAAATTTTACACCAAAATACTATGAAAAGTGTGCCACCTGTAAATAAGCCCATCAGCTTAACAACAGATGGGTTTATCAGTGTTTAAGGTGTGTGTGTGTGTGTGTGTGTGTGTGTGTGTGTGTGTGTGTACTTGTAAGAAGTATTAACATATGTTTTCATGAAAAGGTGAACCCAATTTTGGATACATTTCAGCACCCGAAATTCTTGGCTTATAGACAAGTATATATGGTATGTGTAAAACCTTAAGCCAATCACATAAAGGCCTTGATTGTAAGTTTTCTAGATTGGCTTATGCTGTCAAATAATATAAAAAGTGTTAAAAACCAGGTTTTTACAGGGTTTTTTCCTTTCCTTGCTTCTTTTACTCTTTATTACTTTGTATTAGCTTTTGATGTTCTGTATAAAAATTTTAATATAATCCATAAAAAACAGATGAATAAAATAATCATAAACAATCTGATATATGTGAATATACTCCTCACCTCTCTGATCGAGACTGTTCTACCAGAAGAGCTATCAGAGCAATCATCTTTTCAAGTGCAGCAGGCCTATATTTTTCTTCTGCTAAAGAAAGAATGTCTTCCTCCTCTTCCTCCTCTTCTCCTTCTTCTTCTGATAGTACCTCAACTTGTGGCTGACAACAAAAACAAATCATCATCTCCATCTCTCATACTACACATTTCTGCAAAAGGACTTATTTTACTAAAGCAGCAAGGACACATAACATTACTCTCCCTCTCTCTACCCCTCCCTCCATCCCTCTTTCTCTCTCTCTGTGAGTGTTTAACCATGCTAAGCTTTAAATCTGTAATAAATTATCTCAAATCTAGCTTCATAATCAAAATGTAGAATAAAGATCTACTATAGATAATACTGTAGAGATAATCTGTTTGGAAAAACGTAGAAGAGAAGTGGAGTGGAGATCATGATAAATTTGTTAAAGACAAAATTTTGCAGAGTAAAGGTCAGAGTAGTCATAAAATATCTCCTTGAAAGACTGGGACCAATCCACTAAAGTGCCAATGAGAAATTAGGCTATAAAAGATTACTCCAGACTTACATTTTCAGGACCTTTAGTTCCCATATAGAAATGAACCATTGTTGAAATTGCTTGCAGAGAAAGCAAAAACTGGCTCTGGAAATAATTGAATATAAAATATAACATCTGTTTATATTCTGCCTTCCTCTCTAAATTGATTTTTGTAATAAACATAGAAATGCAAAGTTAAATAACAAAAATGTTAACAGCACTCAAACTTGGTAACAAATAATAAATATAACAGCAGAATTCGTGTAAAATCACTCACCTCCTCTTCTCCCATTTTGGCAAATTCATAAAGAAAGGCAAAGTATTCTGTGAGATGTTTACTGTGGGGTTTAACACCATGTTCCATAATTGACAACAGAGTCTTCACAAAACGAGTCACACATGAGCGACTACCAATATCTTCCACAGGACCATCCATGTCATCTGAACTGAAAATACATTTCATTGTTCATCAGTTTATATTGAAGTCACTGAAGGCAAAATGATCCAAAATCAATCTGAAAAGTTGGTCCAACTTCCTACATTATGCAAAGTACACTATATTTAGGATAGCGTGTGAAATGTTTAACAGTGCTTAAACATTGTATAATACTGGCATATGATAAATTAATGTTACAAAATAAATGTTTGAAATAGATGGAATTATTTTAAGAAAATGTACCAGTCTTCTAATCCTGGCTGTAGGTAGAGATGAGCATGGACTGGCCTTAGCCGCTGAATCACATGAATGCACAAACGTTGAAACATCTGTAAAGTCATAAGATTTAAGGTTACTTTGTGGTCACATAAATATTTGCTTTCACAAAGCTTTAGAAACACAGTGATCATGGATTATTTGGTTGAAAAGTTCATCATTGAATTAGTGATATTTTGCCTTCGTGTTACACAATTAATATTTTATACAGACTATATCTTAAATCATTGATTCATAGAATCTTAAAGATTAGAAAAGACTTTCAATATACTCTTGTTTAACCCCTTACTCAATGCAGTCAATTTCTTTGTGGAATAGCTCTTACGTGCAAATATAATTTATTTCTATTTAATTTAAATACATTGGTTTTTATATTGTCTTCAGAAATAACTCTGAAAAATATCACATTATATTCTTCGTGATGGCTTTTCATATATTTGAAGACACCTATCATGTGTTCTTGCAGCCTACACAAACCTAACACCTCCAATCATTTTTCAAGTTTTTTAAGCCCCTTATCATCTTGACAGCTGCCTTTTACATACATTCCAGTTTTTCAATATTCTTTATAAAGCATGGTGCACAAACAGGATGGAACACTCTAGGCATGGCCAAGGCAAGATATAGAAGACCAGTTCCTTTGGTTTCGGCATTATACTTCAATTCATGCAGCCCAAGACTATATTTGTTTTCTTCACCTTTCTTTTTTCTTTTTGCAGCAACAGCATAGAAAACTGTTAGAACTACATAGAAGACTTTAGTATGGCTTCTAAGGTATTCCACTTGCAACAATCTAAATTGAGGCAATATTTCCATATACAAAATTGCCTTTGCCCTCATTCTTCAGGTAGCAGCAACCATTCCTCTGGTTGAATGGCAAACCACTACTGGGAGAGAAATTCAGGTTTTAAAATGTAATTAAATTAGGCATATGCTATTTGTAATGTGTAATGGGGCCCCTTATTCAAGTAAAAATGTATCTAAAGAAATATTTGGTCTGGTATGCAGACTAAACTTCAGGGTCTACATGTACACTTAAACTTCATTATATTGTTTATCAGAAATCCTTCTAAAAACTGCCATACTGTTTTTGAGATGGAGACCCCAAAAATGTGAAGTACACCTCAAATATATGTAATAATATCCAGGGCACTTCAACCTAACATGTTGGGTTTAATGGATAAAATTCATACTGAGAATTTAAGAAACTAAAACCCTAAGCAATAACAATTTAAATGACACATACTTCATTTTACACTTCATCTTACCTGTCTTACAATCTGATTGGGGCATTTAATTAAAATCTGCATAGGCCACCAGTCATCATCAGCCATACGATCAAGAAACCACTGGAAAAAACCATATATGTAATATTTTAGCATATATTCCTAACAATGAAAGCATTTTCTATTCTACTACATATTCATAGCATATTTTATTATAATTGCTTAAACAACTTAAGTAAAGCTCTAAAAATATTCTAGTAAATATCTACATCACGGTGAAGGGGGGGGGAGAACAATTTTTCATAGCTGTTTGAAAAAATGAAGGCCAAGGATGATAGTTGTCCTAACTTCTAGATTCATGCCACCTACAGTGCATTCAGAAAGTATTCAGACCCCCTTCATTTTTGTCAATTTTGTTATGCTGCAGCCTGATTCTACAGTTGTTGAAATTAATTTTTTCTCATTAATCAATATTCAGTACCCATAGTGACAAAGTGAAAACAGAAGTTTAGAAATGTTTGTAAATTTATTAAAAAGAAAAAATTGAAATATATTGACATAAGTATTCAGACCTTTTGCAACAATATTTGAAATTTAGCTCTGGTGCCTCCCATTTCTCTTGATTGTTGCTGACATGTTTCTACACCTTGATTGGAGTTGACCTGTGGCAAATTAAATTGATTGGACATGATTTGGAAAGGCCTCACAGCTGACAATGCATACTGTAGCAGAGCAAAAACATGAGGTCAAAGAAACTACCTCAAGAGCTCAGAGACAGGATTATTGCAAGGCACAGATCTGGGGAAGGCTACAAAAAAAATTCTGCTGCACTTAAGATTGCTAAGAGCACAATGGCCTCCATAATTCTCAAATGGAATACGTTTGGTACACCCAGGATTCTTCCAAGAGCTGGTTGCCTGGTCAAACTGAGCAATCGGGGGAGAAGGCCTTAGTAAGAGACATAACCAAGAACCCGATGGTCACTTTGACTGAGCTCCAAAGATTGTGTGTGGAGATGGGACAGAGTTCCAGAAGGAATCATCACTGCAGCCCTCCACTGATCTGGGCTTGGTGGCTAGACAGAAGCCTCTCGTCAGTGCAAAGTACATGAGAGCTGCTAGGAGTTTGAAAAAAAAAAAAAAAAACACCTGATGGACTCACAATGTGAGGAATTGTTCAGTTTTGCAGCGTAAATTTAGCACCAGAAAAATAAACACAGATGACTGGTGCTTCATTTAACATCTTTATAAGATATTAAGTAAATTTTACAAGCCAGTTGTAGATTTCTCCAACATGGAACAATTTCAAACAGCAGAAAATATGTTGCAAGTAACTCAACTTCAGTAGCCACCAGCAAAACACAGAGAGAGAACTTCTAGTTTCACTTTCCAGGTCAGCTCCCATTGGCTGGTCTCTTACCATGTCTACTCACTGACTCTGTTAACATCTCTGCCAGTAAATGAATACTCTGACAGGAATAAGATTCTCTTGTCTGATGAAACCAAGATTAAACTGTTTGGCCTCAATTCTAAATGTCATGTCTGGAGGAAACCAGGCATCACTCATCACCAGTTACAGTATCATCCCAACAGTGAAGCATGATGGTGGTAGCAACATGCTGTCGGAGTGTTTTTTAGCAGCAGAGAGTGGGAGACTGATCAGGATTGAGGGAAAGCTGAATGGAGCAAAGTACAGGAATATCCCCAATGAAAACCTGTTCCACAGCACTCAGGACCTCAGACTGGATCAAAGATTCACTTTCCAAACATGACAATGATCCTAAGCACACAGCCAAGACAACACAGGAATAGCTTAAGGACAGCTCTGTTAATGTCCTAGAGCACCGGTCGCCAACTGGTGGGCCATGAGAAAATTTTGGTGGGCCGCAGAGAAATCTCATTCCCAGAGCACCCCTCCCAAAGCAATTAATCCAGGCTGTGCAGAAACACAAGGCTGCAATGCCCACATGGCCCACGGGAAACCTCCCCGCCCACTCACTCCTTACCTGGCAAACTTGCTTGCTAAATTGCTATTTTTCCTTTTTCCGACCATCAGCTGTTCTGCTGTGTCGGGAGATTTAGATCAGTTAGGAAGCAGGAAATGGTTGGATTTCTTGCTTTCTAGCTAGTCAGGGGTAGTCAACCTTTTTATACCTATCACCCACTTTTGTATCTCTCTCAATAGTAAAATTTTCTCTAACCGCCCACCGGAGCCACAGTAATGGTGGTTTATAAAGTAGGGAACAAAACCCCTACCCCCCACCATGAAAGCTGGAACGCCCAATAGTGGGCGGTAGGGACCAGGTTGACTACCAGTGTTTTAGATCTTCGGCTCTGCCTTTAAGCACAGCCGAACTTCCCTTAAGACTGAAGGTTCTATTATTCAGTGCAGACTCACGGCAAGCAAATTTGAGAAACTGAGCTAGCTGATGGCAGATAGATAGATCACTGAATGATTCTGTGAGCAACTCAATCTGTCTGCCTGCTTTGCCTGCTTTTGGGTAAAATTTGCTCTTTTTTAATAAAAAATTCAATATTTATATACATATTTATAATATTTACATACAAGCCATGCCCAGCCAGTCACATGACCACCAAGCCACACCCATAAATTAGGCCATGCCCACAGAACCGGTTAATGGTCCCTGGGATTTAAAATTATGAGTTTGGTGGTCCCTGAGGTCCAAAAGGTTGGCGACCCTGTCCTAGAGTGGCCAGCCAGAGCCCTGACTAGAACCCTATTGAACAACTCTGGAGGGACCTGAAAGTGGCTGTCCTCTGACCGTCGCCATCTAACCTGACTGAGCTTGATTTGCAAAGAATGGCAGAAAGTCCCCCGATCCAGATGTGCAAAGCTTGTCAAGTCATACCCCCAAAAGACTCATGCAATTGCTGCCAAAGGTGCTTCAACAAAGTACTGAGTGAAGGGTCTGAATACTTATGACAATGTGATATTTCAGTTTTTTTCTTTTTAATAAATTTACAGACATTTCTATAATTCTGTTTTCATTTTGTTATTATGGGGTATTGAGTATAGATTAATGAAAAAAATGAATTTCAACAACTTTAGAATTAGGCTACAGCATAACAAAATTGACAAAAGTGAAAGGGATCCAAATACTTTCTGAATGCACTGTAAATAACATTGTTGAAGGATACTAACAATGGGAAACCGTTGATGCTAAATGAATTATAATAAATAATAGAAAGCTTATCAAAACATTGTTCTTATAGATGGTCGGCTTACCTATGAATTAATAAAAAATATTCCCTTCTTTTTAGGCAATCATGTATTAGAAAGCATTTGCTCCACAACAAGATAAAAAAGGCAATTATTATGGGGCTCTCAGATTTTGAACAAATTGGCAGTACTAATTTAGAAGACCAAGTTCTTTCTGCATTCACCATGTTCACTATGTTTAATCCAGAAAAAGTAAACATTTACTATTAAAATACCATAACTAATCAAAGTTTATTTTTATATCATATTTTTTAAAAAACCACCCATCTGTCTCAGAGTAATCTTGGCAGTGTACAAATAGACAATTATAGGTATATCACATACAAAATTGAAACAAAACTATTTAATTAGATTTGTAGCTAAAGCTGAAATGTTTTTTTTATTTTATACAGTATCATGTCTTTAGCACATTATCAAATCCATAAATTTATCCTTCCTAAGTTATGAAACACAAAAACTTGCATATTTGACTGAATTCTTCATTTTTGTCTTACCTCACAAGCAGCTTGGCTGTTGTTAAATTGCTTAGTTAACAGTTCAATCCACTGAAGCATAGTGGGCTAAAGGAAATAAACATTCAAACTGAAGCATATAATTTTCTTCTTCAGATACATAACATTAAAAGCAATAAGTATGATGCAGTGTTAGTTTCAGCAGTACCCTCCCACCTTCCCCAAGCCCACAGAATGGATAGTGATTTGGTTTTGAGGTTTAATAAAACACTTTGTCTTGCATAATCTGGTTTAAAGATGATATATAATATTGTATCACATTTATTTATAGAATAAAATAAGAATAATAAGATCTTATGTTAATTTGTCAAAGTTCAGATACCATATCCTAGGCCAAGGAAATCAAATTTGTCCATACAGGTAGTCCTTGTTTAGCAACCACAATTGGGACTGGAACTCAGTTGCTAAGTGAAATATTGGGAAATATTCTCAGAATGTGTTATCAGGTGGGCAGTTATATAAATGTTTTAAATAAATGATGAAATATATATCACTTAATCGCAACTGGGCTTACATTTTTACTATAGCTTTTTTCCAATTCCCTTGCCTTTTGGAATGCTCACCTCAGTGCTAGATAATTAGCTAGAATGGAATCAATATGTGTATTCATATTTATTGGAGAAGAAGAGATTAAAAGAGAGTAAGCAGGCATACAATGAGGAATACACATCAGAAAAATGTGCTCTCAATGTACTCATTACCTAGTGCAGTTGGGGCTGCAAGGAAGAGAAAAACAAAGATCAGGCACTGGAGAGATTGGAGAAAAAAATTACAAAATAGTAAACAAGTATATAGTGGGAAATGCACTGGCTGGCTGCCTAGCATGCTTGCAGCTAGCAGCCCCAAGAGCTGTAAGTAAACAACTGGCACCGATGCATTCTTGTCAAGGTGTATTCCCCATCGCGTGCCTGGTTACTCTCTTGTAATTCCTTCATCTTCAGTCATTCCAGTCTGCAATGGGGAATGGGGAAATGAGTAAGGCGGAGGCAATGCATACTATCTGAATAGCCAGATAATCCTTGGGTTAAAACGGTATTTGGACCAGAATTTTATTGAACCAATAAAGGCATAAAGTGTGATTTCATATGACCATATTGCTTAGCAATGACAATCCTGACAGTCTCAGTTGCCATCGTAAGCCAGAGATCACATGGGCTATTAAGAGAAGCCCTGTGATCAGAGTCCTAGGCAAACAGGTTGGTGTGCGAGAACTTTGGGACAGTGGGTGTTGCCATTGGTGGGCCAGCAGAGGCCAAGGGTGGGCAATACAGAGAATGTACTATGAACTAGCACTTAGCACTAACACTTAGCACTTAACACTAACGCTAGCCTTACAGGATCAACTACTCTGGAGTATTTTATAGCCTCTGTAAGCGATTTACAGAATCAGTATATTGCCCTCAGCAATCTGGGTCCTCATTTTACTGATCTCAGAAGGATGGAAGGCTGAGTCAACCTTGAACTGTTAAGGACTGAACTCCTGGTAGTGGGAGTGTTAGCCTGCAATACTGCATTCTAATCATTGAGCCTCCATTACAAGATGCCTGTGATTCATACTCCATAGCGGGGCTCTTCAGAAGAAAAAGCAGTGTGAGTGACTTATGGGAATAAATTGTAACCTTTGCTTGTGGGAAACTGGCAATGAAGGTTACAAATAGTGATCATGGATTACTGTAGTGTTGTCATTGTGAGCTAGGTACACTTCCTAACTTTGAATGGTTTCTACACAAGGTAGATGCTAAGAAAGGTCTACCTGTATTAGCTCAAAGGTTTGTTTAGACTATGAAATAATCTAGTTTGAAAAGAACTGAAATGTTATAATTATAATTTTTCCTTTATTTTTCAGTCAGTGAAGCAAATAATTTTTGTTTATCTTAATCAATGTTAGAAATATACATGATGTTATAGGAAATCCAGGCACATACCTTTTCTTTTGAATGGATAAATGTTTCCAGGACAAAAGAAGTGCTTAACTGTAAGACAATAATTGACAGTCACAGACTATCCTGAACAAGTGCTAAAATACTTTTTTTTTTTAAGTAATCTGACAGTAAGATACTTTACCTTGGCTGTCATCAGAGAAACTGCTTTTGGATCTGGTAATGTGCTGGGGATGCTACTACACAACTGCCACATAAATCTAGGGCAAACACATGCACAAATATTTGTTTTTACACCCAGGATTTTAAAACCTGCAGTTTATTTATTAAATAAAATATAAATTGATGTAAACCTTACCCAAAATACGTATGCTCAAAAATATTCTTATCCTGAAGGAACTGCATGTTATCATGCCATATCCACTGAAAAGAAAAATGAAAAAAGCAGGTAAAGTTATTTGTTCTATTCAGAGATGAATGAAAAATAAATTACTGGCTAATGTAAGTACTTCTTAACCCATATAAATTGATTGAGTAAATAAAAATCTTGTGGCAAGATGGGCAGCAAATAAATTTAATAAATTAAAAATAAATAAATAAACCTTTCTATTTAAATGTACCATAATTCAAAATTAGCCATTATATAAAATGCTACTGGTGTTCTCTCTCATGGAAACTTCATTTATTTAAATAATAAAAAGCATCCTAAGTAAGTAAGTAAACTAAACAACACTCCCTGTATCCTATTCCAAACTGTTTGGGAGTGTTCCTACTACTGTGAAGTCAATAACAATGATAATTTATTAAATTTATATGCTACCTGATTCTCAGTTACTTTGAGTGGTTCACAACAATCACCAAAGAAATTACAATAAAATCAACAAATGTTTAATTTTAATGCATTACTTAACATTGAATGCTTTTAATTTTTCAATTTTTAAAATTGTTTTATATCATATTTTATATTATTGTAAGCTGCCCAGAGTCATTTGACAATGTGATAGGCAGCATATTAAATAAATAAATAATAAAGACAGACAGAGAGACAGATGATGAGGATTGATGAAATGAGGGGTCTCAGTCTCTCTCACTAAAGGCCTTAGCTTTTCTTAGAATCCAGGGTACAATATATTGATTCCCTGAAACCTTAATATGCTGAGGCAACCAATAATGTACCTAACTCAATTTTGTTTATGCTGTTGGAGTTCCTCTCTTGAGAAACAGGTTTCCTACGCCTTGCATCCAAGAAATATTTTAATTGGATATGGCAAGAAATGCTACCTTTGGGGAAAAGTTGAAAGGGTGTTCTCGCCTAAAGAGGGAGGGAGGGAGAGAGGGAGGAATCTCTTCAAGCCCTATAATTTTGTGTGTTCTATAACATTAAGAAAAGTTCTATTTAGCCAACTGACTTTATGTTAGTATTAACAATGTTAATATTACCGATTTATTTAAATACAGGCTGTTCCTGTTTTGTCTAAATGAAAGATCCCAACAATACAGCAATAATGCTTTTTGATACACATTCTTATCCTAACATTTTCATTTCAAATAGAATAGAATTCTTTATTGGCCAAGTGTGACTGGACACACAAGGAATTGTCTTGGTGCACATACTCTCGGTGTACATAAAAGAAAAGATACATTCATCAAGAGTCAAGAATCATAAGGTACAACACTTAATAAAAGTCATAGGATACAATAAGCAATCAAATCATACTAGGAACAGTCAATATAAATCATAAGGATATAAGTGACAAAGTTACAGTCACAAGTGGGAGGGGATGGGTGATAAGGAGTGTTGAGAAAATTAACAGTAATAGTAGTGCAGACTTTGTAATAGTTGAACAGTGTTGAGGGAATTATTTGTTTAGCAGAGTGATGGCTTTCGGAGGAAAAAACTGTTCTTGTGTCTAGTTGTTCTGGTGTGCAGTGCTCTATAGTGTCGTTTTGAGGGAAGGAGTTGAAACAGTTTATGTCCAGGATGTGAGGCGTCTATAAATATTTTCACAGCTCTCTTTTTGACTCATGCAGTATAAATGAGTTATACACTATCTAGTAAGGATATGATAATGCTTAGGAATATTAATTATCCACTTAATAGGCACTGATATTACTAATAATTTAATGAAATAAATATGACTTTTGAAAAAGAGTTCTTTCTTCTCCCCTGGTCTAATCAGATTTTTTAAAAAGAATAATAATGCTATTTTGAATTTTGATACAATGAAAACTAGCTCAAATTAGTCCAAACTAAGAATTCTGCCTATTATACAACTAGCAGTCAGCATGACTCTGTCTAATTCATGTCATTGTGTAATGTTCCATATGGGGTATCAGAACACAGAAAAACAAAACACAAACATAATTAAAGATGGGTGGAGCACCAAGTACAATATTTAGAGTCCTGCTACATTATAACACAATGTTGGACAAATAATCAATTTTTCCTTGGACAATCTAATGATGAAATCTGAATCAGAATCATTATAAATTTGTCTTGTTTGAAGTATAATAATTTATAATTATAGGAAGCACATACTTCTAGTAGTTCAGAAGAAACATCAAATGTATAATCTTTGCCATTTTCTTCTTCTGGTTCCATTCGTTTATAGAAGAGCATGTATGCACTGTGAGTCTTAGAAAAGAAAAACAAACACTTCATTGAAATCAGAAAAGTAGAAGATAATTGAAAGATGATAGTCTACACTAATATAAAATTAGGTACCTTTTCAAAAGAGAAATCCATGAATTTATCAGTGACAGAGTCATAGGTTTTTGTCTGGGGAAAAAAAAATATCTTAGAAGGAATACATTCTTTTTGTATTGTTACTTTTTGATAACTGTACAAATATCAACACTACTTTACATTACATATTGCAAATGTAATTTGTTTGAATGGATATAAATAATTTTCTACACTTTAGTACTGAATACAATAGTATGATAACTGTCTATTATGTAGGACTGTCTTATGCATACAATTATAATTACAAGTTGTTGCAACAGTAATATATGGAAATGTAATTAAGTGAATAATAGATAACTATCTATTATTAAAGTCAATGAATAGATTAATATATTTTAAGTGTGTATTGGAATCTTACTTCCATAGTTTTTGATCAAGAATGTTTTGAAAGCTTCACTGCATTTTACTTGGGTAATTCCCCCCCCCCCCCCCAATTTTCCTTTCTTTCTTTTGTTTGCTAGGATGGCACCTTATCATCAAGCCAGAGGCTTTCTGAGCTAGTTCTGATTGTAGCGGGTAAACATGCAATGAAATAGCGATGCCATTAACAAGGCCTACAACAACACATTTTCTTTTTAAATAGCATTAAAAACATACAACTCACTGTCATTTCTCCACCAAAACATTCAGAAGCCAACTGAGCAGAATCGAATGGCTTTACTTCAGCATCATTGAACAGATACCTAGAAAATGCAAAACATTGGGTATTAAGCTGATTCATATAACACTAAAATATTCACTGCACTGAAGATAAATGAAGGTGAAATTCAATGAAGTTCTTAAATTTGTTATAATATTACAAGTAACAAAATTCAAGCAAAGTAAGTACAATCCTATCTACTAGTAAGATGAAATATTCCGCCATTGCTATTAAAGCTGGGACAGAATAAATGCCTGAAATCTTAAGTAATGTCGGTAACTAATTTTGCAAAGACACAAATTTATCCAAAAACAACCTTTCATTTTCTGAGGTGCAACAGTTGACAAATTATACACTACCATTAATCAAGTATTTAGTAAACATTCATAACTTACCACTTGTTGTTTTTGTAAGCGTGAGGATTAACAATATCTCGGATAAAGCTGTAGTAATGCCCCCCATCAGCAGTTCCTGTATGGACAGTTACACCTATCAAATCATACTCATAACTCTTGGTCTCCTTTGAACTACTGCCATCATCCTTGAAACCTAAAATAATATATTACAAAATTTAGTATCTTACTCTCCTAGTCCTTAGAAAAGGTAACATTTATCTTACAATATATTTTGAAAAGAGACTTTAAATATACTGCTATTAAGGCACAGTTCTTGAATGAAAAGCCTATCTTCAGGTGCTAATACTAATTAGTAATCTGTCACTGAACAGGTGCACATAAATAACAGTATCACTAGACACGTGGTTGGAAAAAACGATAAAACAACATATAGATTAAAAACCAGAGATATTTTTATTGGGAATTATGCCTGAAGTTTATAATACAAAGATAACGTATTTGATTATTAATGTATTAACAGCAGCTAGAATTGTATTTGCACAAAATTGGAAAAATGAGAAGATTCCAACAGAGGAGGAAACAATTAAAAAAATAATGGAATGTGTGGAAATGAGTAGATTAACAATGGCAATTAGAGAACAGGAGGAAAAGAGTATTATAAGATTTGGGATTTATTTTATGAATGGTTAGATAGAATAAGAAACTGAAATATGTAGTAACAGTAATAATATATTATAATTCATTAGTTTTGAATGAGCAAAAGAATGAATATAACTTAGCAAGGATGAGATATGTTTTCAAAAGATAACAATTATAATGTTAATGATGATATAATAATTGAACAGTGATATAAAATGTTGATTAGAACGGTTTATATAATATATATTATAATATACATTATGAACACATGATATATGTACCCAACCGACACACTGTAAAATTGAAAAATGGTTTTATTTGTTGTTTTTGTTGTTAAAATTAAAAAAACCTTTCCCCCCAAAATAAATAAATAAATAAATAAATAAACAATAGTATCAGTGACAAGTGTGACAGGGGAAGGAGCAAAGGTTGCAGGAATATGATAAACACTGCTGGCTTTACTGCTAGAGTGCAAGTGCTTGAATTCCACTACAGGTAGTCGTTGATTTACTATCACAGTTGAACCTGAAATTGGTTTTAATTTATTGCTGTCGTTTAGTTAAGCACCCACACAAGCAGCTTGCAACAATCTCACTCAATGACCACAATCCTGACTCTCCCTATTGTGCTTGTTAAGTGGAATGTGGGATGCCATAGAACGTGGGGGAGGCTCAGTGCAGGCTTAAGTCCAAAATGTAGCACCTTCCCACTTCACATGTGATCTGACTGGGCCTCCCAAGGCTTTCCCTACTCCCTGAGGCATCCCTTGGACAGCTTCCTCCCCTTTGGATTCTATAGGCCATGGGCCTGCTTCCTAGCTGGCTGGGTCCCACAGGTCTCAGGCCTGTTTCCTGTCCTCCCAGGGACCCATGGGCCTTGGACATGCTTCCCCTGCCCTCTAGTTACCAAACAAGCTTTGTCTCATCTCCACCTGGTTACACTTTTCTTACACTTTGAAAAAGCATGCCCTTCTGAAAAGTTATCTGATTGGCACAACAACTGGGCGCTCTTTTAGAAATGTGATTTATGGAAGAAGTGGAGCAAATGGATGTCCAACTTTATGATGACATAACAGAAGGTGGGGGGATGCTGCAATGGCTGTAATTTCAGGTAGGGTTCTTAAGTCTATTTGTTCAGCAAAATGTTCAAACGTATACTTCAGTTGCAGTGGCTTCAAACTGCACCCTAATCCTGAAGCAGTGATGAGATTTCAGGCTGAATGACCATGACTTAATCTTCTTTCATTCTGTCATTTCACCAGCAGCTGTGGCTGGCATTTTCAGAGGCAGAGTAAGACCTACATCAATATACTATACTATAACCCTGCCTTCCCAGTCAATCTCCCCCACCACCAATGGAAAATAAAACATTTCACTTGGGACAGTAGAAAGCAATGAACAACAAATGGCAAAGGTCTAAGGGCTTTCTTGAGGAAAATCATGGCAACCATGTCATTCTGAAAATATAACATTACATTCACATTATCCAGATGTGACTTTTTCCCATGGGGAGGGGGGGG